TGTTATTGGTCCCCGATATAAAACATCATTTAAACTTTTCATTCCTTTACAATGAGCTGATGCATCATAAACTATCCTCAGATTTGTCGTGGTTTTATTTGGTGTTATTACTTCGTGATGAGGCAGATAATGAATAATACCAACTTCATTCATTTCCGATGACACTTTCTCAATTATATTGGAATTGAGTTGTTCTTCAATAGTTTGATTGTATCGACTTAGTAATTGAGGTTTCATTTGAAGCCTCCTAATTAACGACTTTAATCTTCCAAGGCAAAGTCCGAAATTATCGCTTAGTTTGTTCTTTGAATCTTTCCAAGGCCAACAAACTTGATATCTTCCCTTGTCCCTAGTGATAGTTTGTTTAAATTGCTGCAATGCTTTTTCATCATTGTCAGAGTTTATTTTGTCTTGTATACCCATTATTTCCAGTTTCCAAAAGTGATCTAAGTCTGGAATATTGACGGCATTGACTTGAGAAATCGGACTTACTGATGTGGTTTCTGAAATACTGTCGTGTATTTCATTTATATACCCACTTCCAGCTATTATAGGTCCAACCTTTGTATGGATCAATGAAAATCCTGATTTTAAGTTCTCTGCTTGGTCAAACTGGATAAACTTGAAGAAGTGATCCGCACCTATGAGTATGTCCGGTTGTTTCCATTTGTTTTTGAAATTACTAAACTGATTTCGTTTGTCTATCATCAACAATTCCTTTTTGTTTAGATTAACTACTTGCAATTCATTCGTCAAGTGGTTAACTGTTATTACATCTAATCGGATTATTTCTTTATTTCCAATTTTTACTCCGATTTCAGTTTTAGTAGTGATACACGTTTTTGGCGTCTTATCACCAAATGAAGCAATTTTTATTTCCATCTCGTTAGTTTCTTGTAGATTCAATCGATAAGCCAAATCCTTTGATATGAACGATAATTGAGAACCAATATCGAATAGAATTAAAGCCTTTTGTTGGATTTTTGGGCGATTTGGATTGGTTACATTTATTTCCTTACATAACAGTAAGGTTCGCTTTTTCCATTGATTTCCTTTTTCGGTAATGGAGTTAGCGATTGTGACTGAACCCAACCTTTCTTTGTTGGAATCCACTGCTTGCGTGAGTTCCTTGTAGTTGTTGGGACACAGTGCTGTATTGTGTGGACTTTTACAATGGAAACACAAAGGTTTCCCTTTTTACAATCACTTGTTGCATGTCCTTTTCGTAAACATTTGAAACATGCAGTGATTTCTCTCAAACGTTCCATCCGGAGTTTGAGAGTGGGATAGATGTTACATTCATTGTTCCAGTGGTCCTTATTGCAAAATACGCATGGTTTCCTTTTCCCATTTATAGAAATTTTTCCTGGAACCTTTTTTGATTTGATTGTATTATCTCCCTTTGTTTGGTTGATTGTGGCGAAAGCTGACGTTTCGCCTCTAACATTATTTTTGTTTGTTTTCTTCTCCCTTGTGTCTGCTTGACTTCTAGCAACTTCTTCATTTCTTAGAACTAGTTTTGTCAGGTACTGCCGGATATCCTTAACTGACCAACTCGTCGAATCCTCTTTCAATTGGTATAATTTATCAATTATCCACGCTGGTAGTTTATTTTCAATTGTAATTTCGATGCTTGAATGCTCTAAATTTTCACCTATAGCTTCCAGTTGTCGAAATGTTCTCTCCATGGCTTCTATGGTTGCTTTCCACTCTCGGTCATTTTGTTTGATGGTATTCAACTCGTTGTAGAGTGATTTCTTTATAAGGAAAGGTTTACCATATTTCTCTTTTAGTAAACCTATTATAACATCGTAGTTTTCTGGCGCTATATCATAACCTCTTACAGATAACAAAGCATCTCCTTTAAGACATGATATCAGATAGTTTAACTTTTGAATATCTGGGATGCTTTGCTCATGGACTGCTGCCTTGAAACTACACCAAAATTGCCTCCACAATTTTGGATCCCCACTAAACGTTATTAGTGGTAATTGAGGAAGTTTTATTTCTGCTTGATTTGTGTGAATCATACTATTCTTTGGAAATGATTCTTTGACCTCTTCTTGTTTTAAATGTTGTAGTACCGAGCAATATTCATCAGTATGTATTTTAAGGGTAATAATAGTTTCTCTTGTTCTAGTGATTAAACCTTAAAATACCTTGTGGATCGTCAACCATATTGGCGTATTTCGTCTCCTCTTCCTTTCTCCTCGTTGCTATTGTCAAGCTCTGAATATTATCCAGCCAATTTTGATTAGCTGTTTCGAGTAACCCAGCATAATATTCGAGATGTGCGATCTTCTCCTTGACGATTCGCAATTTAATTTCGTATTGATGCTGAAGTTCCCCTCGTGATAGTGTTTGAGACGGGGAGGTCAGATCGAGTTCACTTGCTTCTTTAAGAAGTTCTAGAGTTCTCGACTTCGATAATTCGCTTCCTTTTCTTATACTGTCGGACATGTCCCGGCTCGTGGCACCAAAATTGTAGTGGAAGCAAAAAAATGTTTTTGGAAACAAACCTTTATGATTTGGTTAAATTGTTATTCGGGGGAGAAGTTTGATGTCAGGGAGATGTGTTGGATGCCAGCTAAATATTTGGGCAACAATTGAATAAACTGATTCGGAGGATTGGATGATTTTTAAAACTGATCTAATTGACAATAGTATGGTTATAAAATCTACATTGATGTTAGACAATGATCCAAACAAAGGAGAGGAGGTGCTTGCATGGGCACCAGTTGCTAATAAAGAGCTTATTAGATAACCGCATGATTATGATAGCTAACAAAGAACAATGTAGATATCCTCATGATTGTAAGGATTGCTAACAAAGAACAATGTAGATTGTTTCAATATGTAGAAGCATAAATTTGGAAACAAAGAGTCCGAAGTATAAGCATTATTTGCGGAAATTACGTAGATATCTTTACTACAATTTGCAACTCATATTTTTAGATCGCGATATTAAAATCCGCGACAGAACCAGCCAGAGCGATGTCCATGACATATTATTAATGAATAATGAATAACTGGTCGTCATCGCATGTTAGAAACAGAGGAAGCAATTGACTTGTCCTGAATATGTATTTCTTCTCATTCATATCATATTCTGTTTATGATACTTATCTGTCAGTGAGTAATTTTTCAAAATGGAATCAATCGATAATGATTATCTCACAGCACTACTCGTCTTAGAACCCGTAAACATCAACTGTACACCCTACAATAGTATAATTTTAGCCAAAAGTATAGAGAATAGTTGAAAATAGTATGTTAATCATGAGGGAGAGAGAAAGATGAACTGGAATTGAAAATTAATGAGAAAATAATTGCTGTGACTTTGGTATCCCTAACGGATAGGATAATTAACTGAGGGGAAAGGGATGGTTGAATATATATACAGTTGAATGGATCTCAACAAATTACTGCTCGTCATGCACTACCGTTATTCTCCTCCTACACTCCATTTTTTGAAAATAACCAAGGGAATAAAGGATAAATTTGGATACCATAAACCGAGAAGCGTTATTAAATAGCGCAACATAATAGTAAGCTAATAATTTCATAAATCAATAAATAAATAGTTTGGATCATAAATGGATACAGTAATCTCTTCAAAAAGGTGCACACACAGTCAATGAGTTCATATGGATGAGGGGATATTAAGTACTGTTCATGCAAATTTCCGCTAATCAATTTCATTTTTACCTAATTTTTATTTGATCTCTAATATTTATATTTGTAATCTTGAATTCTACTCTATTGATGATAGAAGTATGTCTGATCAACAAACTACTATTAATGTTGTGCTTTCAGCATGCATTTTCTTGTAAATCATTTTCTAATCAATAGCAACAATCTGTAAATGAGAGAACACGATGTTCAGACAATCTTTTGACTGTACGTATGAAATATTTAGAATCGAAAAACTTAAATTCTAATTTATATTATCAAGTCACTACTACTGCCCAAAGCCAATTCTCTTAATTTCAGCGATCGAATTGTCGGGGAATAGTCATGAAATTATATTTAATTACTATGATAATGAAGATTAACAAGAAAAAAAAACTATTTTTTTATTTCAGAACACAAAGAAATTCGAATTTTAGAGAAGTTTTCGAATGCATTTCTCAAGCACTTTTTCTTTCTGCTTAACCTAACACATATTTTGTTTACTGCAATCAACCAGCATAAGCACATTTTATTCAAAATTACTCTGCAGATTAGTCTTTTTCTCCTGGTCAACTTGAATTGTGCAAGTGAGCATATCGGGTAACCACTTATCAAGTGAAGTTCATAGTCTTTAGGTTATTTCTTCTTTTCGAAATATATTCTGTTTGATACGATCTCACTATAGGAAAATGATTAAAACGGTTAACTATACAATTTGGTAAGATGTCGAAGTGCGTATTTATTGCACTCAGAAATTTTACTTCTTTTTCGTTCTTACATTTTTCAAATACCAAAAAATAAAAGATAGACTGAAGCCGAAGCCATTCAAACTATCCAGGTTTCTTTAATTTCATTAATTGGTAGAACTGTAACTTTTTGGAATTTCCTTCAATTCAGAAATACTCCTAAACTTCAGTCTCATGTCTCAGCGTTTATAAAAACGACATTCATAAGTCTTATGGAATTCAAATAATTTACACTAAAGTTTAAAGTTCTTCAGACAAACATAAACATACCGAAGAATTATTAAGATACCTTCAAGGAAACAAAATTTTACAAATTCGAGTAAAAATTTTCGGAAACATCGATAATCCGAGAATGTCATTATTACAAATCATTGTTATTATTCATTGCAACATTCCCCTCATAAACAAAAGATTCCAATAAAAAGAACAAGTGTCAAAATAAGAGAGAAACAATCATCGGTCAAGAATCTTTGTAAGATGCCAAGGGAAGCAACCGAGGATAATATAACTTTATCTTGGTCAAAGAGATTATTCCGAAGAAGTAATAAAATCGTAAATTTGTTGCAGGAATTACAACTTTTTTCAAAATCGTTCAATAATTGTTGATATTTCGGAAGATCTTTTTTGTATCTGTTTAAATCTGTCTCCATTACTGCAGTTGATTTCTGGATGCACAGTGAAAGATTTTCCTTCATCATCAATTTCGGAATTTTCCTGAGATAGGTCAGTAATTAATACATTGTCAGTTGAAACTGGAAAAGCCTCTTTCTTCTCGCAGTCGTAATTTCCACAGTCATCGGACGGAGTACTAATAGAATCATTACTAACTTTTCTTTTCCAGTCTAAATAAGTTATCATCGTAGTCGGACTTCCTTTTCCTGGAAATTTCCAATTACAGCCTTTATTGAACTGTTATCACTTAATCTATCGTTTATGATTAACAAATGAATGCTTTTATATATGCATGATTTTGTGAGTATTTGTATCACTCAAGCATCTTTAAATGATTCAATAGTGTCCACTTCACCTCCTTTTAGAATTCTCTGACTCACCTATTAAAGATTTTCCTTACATTTTCCTTACTGCAAAAATTATTTGATGAGAATTAGTCACAGAGAAGTATATCAGTATAAAAATGCAAAGATACAGGAAGGTAGTCTGAAAAGAAAATCGTACCATTGCAAAAAGAAAATATTACCACCAAGTGAAAAGCAATCAAATCTTACCATCCATTTGTGAAGATACTTTCTCCACAAACAATCCTTTCTCTTTTTTTTTTATGCTTCTCCAATCTGAACTTCCTGTAAGTGGTTGTGAAGATACACGAGACAGATCACTATTCTTCATCATATCAGTAAATTTTTGATCAGTGCTCACTACGCTTGGAGTATTGACATCTGATAAGCAACAAATATTCGCTCGTAAGAAATGCAGTAACGTCGAACGCACTTTGTCATTCAGAACAACGTGGATGATAAAGATAAACACACCCTGAAGATTTGGCTTTTGATTAGGGTGAGTGGTTTATTAAATTTAAAAGTATTTCTGATTCAAATAACTTTTTTAAACAATATACTGTCGTGCTTTATCTTTTCTGACGTAGAACAATACTTTTTAAGGAAATGCAATATTTCCTAGTGAGTCTCCTAATAAGGTCATATTCTTATTACGATATTTTGTTTCTCGTGACGATAAAAAATTTTAATATTATAGAAAAAAATGGGAGATTGTTAAAGACGCATAAAACAGTTTCGGCACTAATATAAGCCAGCTCACAAAAATAATTTGCAGAAGATTTATAATTTTTTAACAAAGAAAATACGAACATTACAACTGGATGGTATATACATATATGCTGAGAAACAGATGTTTGATGACAAGAAAATCAAATTCATCTTTAGTTATTAAAAGAACATTTGCAACAAATAAAAGTGAACCTGCAGACAGTTCAAAATTGTGAAAATATATGCAAAAACAGTCTCGGCTTCCTGGATGATCATCAGGTACCCGAATATCCAAGTGACACCCAATAAACACAGAAGTGTTGCGGAACCTTTCAACCAACCTAACATCTGTTCCATACGGTTTCGATGGCAACTAGGCACCGAAAGTACCACTCGCAGTGCAATACCAAGAAACACTATATTGGACTGTAAATTACCTTAGAAATGGATATGGAAAAAGTAAGCAAATTTTCTAATTTTTTTTTTTTTGTTTTCCATATGTTTGTTAAAATTCCAGGACTTAGCAAGTTACATTGAAATTTCTGGCATTATGTTGATTTAGCTAGAGTTAAAGCTTTCAATGAAGGCTTATTATCCAAATTACAAATCTATCTTTTACAAGGAACAAACCACAATGACAACGGCGATAGGTCCAGCAAAAGCCCATATTGTTGGTGTTGCTACATTCAACCAGCAACTGTAATATGGACTAAGCAAATTTTTCAAACTTTCGGAAATTATCTTTAGATCAAAAGAAAATACATTTTTTTAAATCGAGTGTGAAAATGTTCTTTTAGAAAATTATTCTACACCACGAACCAAACATATTTAACTTACTACTGATCTGTGCTATAATTTGACCAGGCAACTCCGACAGTAATAGCAACAATAATAGCTGGGAATCCGTAAGCATAGAGATAATAGAAGACAGTTTTTTCTTCCTCGTTTTCGAAAACCTCAGAAATCATGTACACAAAAATCATACTTGAATGCATTTATATGCCGAACAACATTATGTTATCTCAGTTTAATTATAGCATTACCTCCCTCTAACTCTAATAGTTAAACGAAATCACATAAAGATTAAATATAAAATATATAATGTGTATTAAAATGAAAGGTAATAGTATATTACCTGCACAAGCATCAAGTAGAGCTGATATCCTTCCAGTAACATCCAACAAAATGCCGAAAGAAAGAAATAATGAAGTATCACAGCAACTGCACGACATATCGTTCTATTTTCAGTTCTATCTATGCTAGTTACAAAAACCAATTCAGCTAATAGTAAACAAAAGCATAAATTACTATGGATCATGTGACGGACACTCCATAAAGATCTAAAACAAATGAGATTTTCTGATTTAACTTAATAGACTATGTGCTCTAAATTCAGTCCAGATTTTTATTTGAAGTTAAGACTTAGTTTCTATGCATTTAATCCTTAATTTCATTTTCATTTGATGATTTTATGCATTTTTATAACCATTTTTTTATGCTGTAACTTTAGTAAGAATAAAGTTACAGCGCCATTTTTATTATATCGATGCTAATAAATTTTAACCTGAAGCATGTGAAGACAAGTGAAGTAAGGGAGAGACATATAATTGAAAATATACAACCAACAGTGGTAGTGAGATTTAAAACTTGATTAACAACTGATTCTTCATCATGACCAGAAAAACCAGTTATGTCCATTAAAATAGCAAAACTGAAATGCGAAAGGAACAGGATGCTGAGATTATACAATTCACTAATAAAAGTAATACTATACGTATGGTAATCCGACATTTTTTAGAAAGATAGAGCCCCCTAAACATGGTAAAGATCTGATAAAGTATGGATATATAAACTGCTTTACCTGATTTGCAAAATTTGAAAAAAAAAAAACCTAGTCAAGTGTGTGCAAGAGCACTCAGTTGAATCATTCACTGTGCGCAATGTTTTGCAACCTTCTTTGCTCCAAATCCTGAAATGCTGCATAATTTTATTTCGAATGACTGAAATAAATTTTAAATTCTAATCATTATCATCGTAAACAAATTAAAAGGTATATGAAAATGTCTTACATAAAAAGTAAAATCATTAGTAATTGCAACTAAAACTAACAACGTCAATACTCACTTTTTGGAAATATCCCAGAAAACGCATCGCGGATTATTTACCCCATTAGTTCTGAGATGATAAAATTTGAAAGTAACTGGGTGACTTTCAGGCAACGAAATAGAGGTCATTGGGTCATTTACACTTGCACCTATAATGCGTTATTGGTATTTTTCCAGAGTTTCTAAATACAACTTCATTCTTTCAAAATCGGTTGAAAATTGCGAACTAGACAAGAAATAAATGCCGCATAATTTACTGGACTGGTCAAGACAGCTATAAGTTTTTCAATGCTAAGGTGACACTGCGATTTAAGCGCTTAAGTATGTATAATAAGTATAATAACAGCAGTTATATAGAAATTACATTAATATGAATTTCCATTACGTATGAACATGCTATTAAAAACAATAAATAATTAGCTGATTTGGAGCATATTACTGACTAGATCAAAATAAATCAGCGCCCTTAAAAAAAAAAAATTGAAAATTTTGAATTTGAAGAATACCAATTACAAGACTGTTGGCAATGGTAGTTTTATTTGTATTCAACAATACTCCCACTGATCTAAATACATAATAAGCCACAAGAAGCAGATTTCTACGCGTCGGAATTACTCGTGATCGCTATAACATTGGAATTTATAAAAAAATTTCGAATATTTTAAAATTCCTTTTAACTTAGGTTTAAAATTGTTATTTAAATAGTACTAACTGGGCGCATGAGAAGACTGGAATCACCAAACGTAGATAGAACTGCCACCTGCGCTGACTGCTCTAAAATTATTATTGACTGAAATCCAAAGAAAGTTGCATAATAAACTCTTCAACATACTTAGATTCATTTTTGAGGTACAAGAAAAAAGCTCAAGTTGGAAAACATATAGAATTTAACTGTCGCAATTATAACATTATTGCTTAACATGGAAACATATTTTTTTTTGATATAGATCGATTATTTTTACTATTAGTTATACTAAATATATTTAAAAAAAAGCATGGACATACGAAGTATTTTCAATGGCGGCATTAAGAAGGTTGGTGACAGCGAGAAGCTGAAAGTGACATTCCCAGTCAGCTCATTAAAATCTGCATTGGTATAACTCGAAGAAATATTAGTAAAGGATATAGCATCAAATATATGAGATCGGCGAACTAATTTTGATTTACCATTGTCATCCACATGATTAGGAATCGGTCCTTTCATTTGTACTTCGAAAGCTGCACAAACGTTACTTTTAATCATAAAAATTCCTTTGTTTTGAAAGCTGTCTTCAGCTTAAGCATCTCAGAGTTTCCAAAAATCGAAAACTTTTACTTGCTTGAGAAGAAATCCAGAAGAAATATAAGTCGGCATAGACTGATTAGTAATCAGTTATTAATCAGAAGATCAGAATGTAATGATGTAATCAGAAGATAAAAAGATTGATGTATGCAGTTACTGTCATATATAAATCCTAAACTACAAGTTCATATAGACCCAGATTTTGAAAAAAATGTGCGTGCAGTACAATCGTAATAATTCACCCCAATTGTTGTATTCAATTCTTTTCTGCTTTTCACTGATAAACTCAGCCATCAATGTAGCACTTTGTTCCAGCTCTGATATTAATGAAGATACCTCACGTATTCGAACATCATCTGGTAGAGTCATCCAGACAATTGCAGCATGATCACTCAGTAATTCATTGCCTGCTTCACCATACATCTACCAATAATGCATTTAAGCAATTTATTACTACTTATTATTCTGTCCAAAAAATGTCTTTTTTTTAATTGGCTAAGGAAAATTCAAGCTAGAAATAAACATTTTTCAAAGTAAGAGAAAGTACTTAAAATTTATTGACTTTCAAGAAAAACCTCTGTGAATTCGATAGCTTTTTCGTTCCGTTCTTCTTCGTTATCTAATATTGCATATTGCACTCTTGCCAGTGACAACAGTTTTTCGCCAATTTCAATACTGCCCACTAAGTCACCACCAAATAATCTGAGAAATAAATACTTCTAAAGAGAATATGTTGAATAATGACAAATCAGAAATTAGATAATCTAAAAGATATTAACATTCAATTTCAATAGTTTTAAAAAGAAACTGAGCCTTTTTTGAATAATATATTCTGCAAGTGTGTCACTATCTACTAGCAATCAGTCTCGAAATAATAGCAAACGAGATTTTGGATCATCAATCCTCATTAAAAGCCAACTTCTGAAAAAGAAAACTAACATTTGCTTCACTGAATCTTGCAAAAATTGAGCCCATTTTCGACTAATATGCTCCGCAGGTTCGTCACTATCTATCATTTGATCCAACAATCCGACCCATTTGTGGGTACAGTTTGCCGTGTTCGGTTTTCCTTCCCATCCACTCGACTCACAACTGCATTTCTGCGTTGTCACTCCTTTAAGCAAAATTTTCAAACTGAAAAACAACAAAATTACTCTTACAAAAAATTATTAAAGCTCTACCGAGACACTTTATCCAAAAATCTATCCAAAAACTTAGTTCCAGTGTGCGAATAGCTGTAGTCAAATGTTTCATACGTAATAATTGCTTACCGATGGTATTTTCTGGATCTGGACACGGTATTTCAATTTCATTGCAAGCCAACGTACGTGGGACAATAATTCCATCCCACTCAAACTCTTCGCAGAATGAACGCTTCCTGCGGAAATTCGTTCCATCCTGAGCGGTACTGCTTCCAGCACTAAAAGTAGAAATTTTTTATTTACTCCTCACTGATTTGGAACAAATCAATTGCTTTAGTTTGTGATACGCAAATTCATAGCAAGTTGTTGCCATAAATATGCTCAAAGAATGGAACACATTCCAGTTCAACTATTATGATAGCATAACTGGAATTTATGTAACTTGCATAGCAACCTGCTCTTATGTTTCTGTTTGCGGGAAAAGTCTCAAAATCCCTTTCTAACAAAAAGCCTTGTTTGTTTAGTCTAATTGAAATTGAAAGGAAGTAAAGAAGTAAAAGAATGTTTTTAACATTGAATTAATAATGAGAAAAAAATACCCATTTTGTGTTGTAGCAGATATGACAATATCACCATAAACATAAAGATAAAAACGGAGAAGTAGCAGGACGGTCATTAAAACCATCCTATTGAATAACAATCACAGAAAGTAAATAAATCTGGATTTCACAAAAATATTCACCGATTATAATTGAGAGAAATAAACAGTCGCTTTTTCTATTATCTTCACAACTATTAAAACTTGAAGGGAAATTTTCCAAAAAATGGAGATTGCAAGTTTCAGCCCCAAAAATCCTTACATTGTCAAAAATTTCAATAAAAAATATGACTAAAATACCTCAATGTTATAACACTCATCAGTTTGTTCAATTTGTCAAAATTAACAAATTTCTCTTATTTCAATAATATTCCAACAGAAGTACAATCACATAAAGTAACGAATAGATTTTGGAAAGTTTAGTTAAGGTCAATATGAAATTGAACAGCAATAAGTAGAGAGCAAAATGAAGATGAAGGGTAGATGATTAAAAGAAACTGGTTTCCATCCTGTGACGCTAATAACTATTAAAACATTTTAGTTGTGGAATGTCCACGCGACATAAGGCATGAGTCATTGTTTTTGCCCAGAAATTAGCTCACAAATTTATTTGTTACTCGAAAATGCATGTCAAAAAGTGCTCCTTCTTTCTCCTTCAAGAATCATGAAAATTTTATTCTAGAAATAAGTAGAGAAATGGACTAAATACTACGAAGTAAATAATACTATTTAGAAATGGTCCTTCAGATAATCATTTATGCTATGCTGAGGGATTAAGCAAGAAGTTAATATTATTCCGATTTCCTGCATGTCTAAATCTATCTAAATAATTTAAACATATCAGCTTTAAAACAAATAGATTTAAACTTAAAAATCTCTACATTTAAATTTGAATATGGCTGAAACGTGATTAAACATAAACCGTTAAATTTAAGTAATTTAAATGAACACTTCATTATCAAAATGGAAATTTTATGTCTAAATTTTATTTGAAAATAAAATAAAATAGATGAGTTTACTCGTATTCCAAAATTTACTCAATCCGATTTTTGTTTTCAGCTCATAAAATTGCAATGTATTATAACCACAGAATGCAACTTAAAGAGAGTAGAGAAAGGAAACATTTTAATAAATTTTGGATTTAAATGATTTCAATGAGAAATAAATGAGAATTAAAATAAAGGATAAATAGAAATAAGAGTTTTGAACTGTGATTTATAGAAAATTAGTGTTTCTTTAACTTGCTTCGTATTTTCCGGTTGACTTATAACAGCCGCATCACCAATACTTGATTTAAATTATTAAGGTTCTGATAAATTGCAATCTTTTGCAACAAGTAGTACTGTTGTACCTTCCACTCAAACCATTCAACATTCCATAATCTGTTGAAAATAATATGCTGCTTCATAAATTTATTGTGTACTTCAGTAGATTGGGTTTCTGGCTCAAATTGATAAACCCATTGTTGACTGCTATTGCAGTTTCTTTGATTCCAAAAAGCCCTTCTACTAGTTATATAATAGCAGTCACAGAACGAACTGCCACCTAGTCTGAAAGAAATAAATATTTCAAAATGAAAAAGGAGGACAAAGAGAACAGAAGCCGATTACGAGCAGACGATGGATGTATCACAAAATGATATTTACAAGTTTAATGCAATTTACTAGTTTCTAAGAACTTCTCCAGTATTGAAATATACCTCTCGAATCCATCCATCCATCCAATAACAAGAACTTTTATTATTATGAACTTGTCTTTGCAAACTATAGCAATTTTTTTTCTGCTATTGGACCAACCGAAAAAGCCAATGTCCACCCTAAAAAACAGTTGCATTTAATAAAAGAAATAAATGAGCCGAGGTGGCTAGTTCGTAGACAGTGCTCAGTAGATATTTCGAAGATATACATATTTATATGGTAAAAGCATGATAAATCCAATAAAGTCGCTTGGTCCATTTAACAAAATTCGAAATGATTTCATTCTTTGTTTCTTTCAAAATTTCTATCACCAAGACTGAACCAGACTGTAACATTACTTTTTAAAGACATTTTGTTTGCGCATTGTATATTGAAAGTGGTTCTTCTGTTACACATGGGACATAACACCGTCCGTCCATTTTGACAGACTGCGTGTGAAGGACATATTGTCATTGGTTCTAGAAATATGATATAAGCATAAGCGGAATAACTCAAATAAGATACAAATTTGAGTTTTTTTGTCAAATTGCACTAATAGCAGAAATTATAAAAGGAACCAAACAGACATCGCATCCGATACTGCAAACTAATAGCTGTGCTAGGTAGACAAGGACTATCTGGAAACAATGACTGAAGATCATTGATTCGGCAAGTAGTGAGACCTTGACACCTGGAAGAATGTTATCGAGAATCAGTAGGTAGCTTTTGATGTGGAGTATTAATGGACTTGAAATTAAAAGAAAATTAGTTGACTGCTAATCATTGCTTGTAAACTGGACGGATGCACACATTGTTCCCAATATGTAACATTTAATTTTTCTATATGGAAGTTAAGCATCTTTCCCCGGATTCCTGAAATGAAAAAGGAAAAATAACTTAAGCAAGATTCTAATTAATTTTCAGGATATTTTTTGAGACACAGCCTGGAAATGAAGCAAAAATAGTGAAGGAGCATTGTACATGGCAATCTTTTAGATCCCTTTTTTGCCATTTCCCATTTAGAACTGTTTTAATTTCTTTTCGTCATTTGTCTTCCTTTTAAGAGCAATCATAAAATAAGGTGTAACACGCAATGTTTCTTTATTTAGCAAGAAGAAATTTTGTTATTGATATCGTAGCTATGACCAGCCCTTCTCTTAATACCACTATTCCTTCTTTTTTTTGTTTGCTATCCTTAACGTGAGTTATTTATGGTTTCGTGCAAACATCTGAAGAATTTGATTTATTACGATTTAAGTTAGGAGGAAAAATCAGAAACTCATCTTTTTCAATTGATCAAAAAGAAAAAACAACAAAAACTTTCAGTACAAAATTCCCTGGAACAAAATAATATTAATTTGTAATTTGTTTTCAATCCAAATCGTAATTGTGAATGTTCTTAAAATATCTTAAAGAAATGCGACTTCCCAAAAGTACTGATGTCTTGAACCTTTTTGGATTGCTGTTTTTTTATTATTAATGCAATAAAAAAAAATGAATTCGAAATTTTTTAGGAGCTAATTCCAATATTTCCATATGCAGCAAAATCGACATATATTGAACCTTCACTAGGACATGAAAATTCGAACTGATTATCGGTACAGATAATACTTTGTGATTCAAATGCTATACCTTGAATATTTTACATGAAAAGAAAATAAATTTTTGGAAGGAAATCTTAGTCCTAATTTTGAGTTAATTGTGTCAGTTAGATGACTCTCAACGTCATTTCAGCAAAATATTCCAAAATCCGTTTAGATTTAATAAAATTTCTGAATGGATATTTATAGATTCAATTACATAATTATTCCAGTCTATTTCCAAGTTGTATAATGAGTGGCACAAAAGGTGGTACCAAATATGTTGAAGGACTGATCGCAAAAACTTCCATGATAACCATTATGACACATACATTGCGCCCTTCCTAATTCATCCATTTCTAAAATATCACTTTTGTAGTCTCTTATGCTTCAAACTGCAATATTTAGACTTCAGCATGATTTCCTAATTAAATTATTCTAATTCGTTTGTTACTGATGAATATAATTCCAAGCAGCACAAGCAGAGCAGCTGTGAAAAGAGGAAATTGAGGGAAAGAGAATTACCTTTATTTATTGGTCGACTGCAAATGAAATAATTAATATTAAAGCAGTTAACAAGAATCCAATCACGGAACATCTATTCGATGCAACTTCCATAAAACAAAAAATGAACTAATAGAGAAAAAATTCTTTGTATAAATGTTTCGGTTCCAAGCATAGACTTGTTGGGTACCATTCAGCACCATATGGCCAGCAGTGATAGATTCAGAACATGAAAAAAAGATGAATTTGTGAGAAAGAAGAGTGGCATTCAAACGTTTCACTTAAATGTATTTCTAAAAATACAATTTTTTTTTCCGCACAATATCCACTTTATTATTAATATCTCAAAACAGTTCAAAAGCGTCTATGTTTGGTGAATTGAATTGAGGTGGCTTCATAGAGTATAAACATTTTATGAATGCTTTCACGGTGTAACCGAGTGATACATAGCTTGAGATACAATTAAGCATACTTTTCTAGCGGTTCCAAAGTACTATATATATATATATATTTCTATTTATAATTATGCTGATCAGAAGTCAGTTATTAATCTTGATGGAGATTTACAGATGTTAGAACGTCAATAGAGACTAAAAAGATCAGGAACTTCTACGTTTCTAATTGGTTAAAACCTGAAGATTTTGTTTGAAAATACATGGAGTACGATAAATTTGTCTGAATCGATCACTAGGGGTCCTAAAATACCAATCAAAGTTTTTCTTTCTTGAGCACATGAAAATTTCCACAACAAAATTCAGAAATATACGATTAATTTAGTAAACTAAACTTGAAAAATTTATGTCAATAAAATCTAAATAATCTTTAAGACTGCAAGCTGCTGTAAAAATCGGTGTTTAGAATTCAGGTATCTAAAAGATACGTGCAAGAAAGAAAAACTTTGATTGGTAAATAAAAGATAATATTTAAAAAATCTAAAAGATAATTAAATCAAATATGAAGATCAAAAATTTTAAAGTCTTATTACATATTATACGTGTTTGATAATTGAAGTAAGACTTTTTTAATTTGATAGAAAAAAAAATTTCCTTAATTTCTTGTTCTTATATCAAAAGAAACTAAATTCAATTCAGCTTAAAATACCTGCTTTTAGGCTTGATAATAAATAGCTCGACATAAACAGCTGCTAAAATTTACTTTTAATTGTCACCATACTGCCTGAAATTTCATTACTTTCACTACATCAGTTTATTACTAATCATTTTGATTGGAATTGTAAATTGTAAATAACAGTTAAATAATCAAATGACAAACAAATATTTTGTTCATTGTTACATAGAAAGATGGAAACTAAACTAAAGAAAAAAAAGTGCTCAATAAATTGCACATTTATTTTTGATTTACACTAAAACCAAAATCTCATGAGACGGGAATTATTCACATTCATTTTGATACGAGGAATAGGCAGTTTTAAAATTTATTCAACACTGCTTAATTCGGCTAATTCGTCATGAATTATTTTGAATACATCAAAAGTTTTATGCTTTATTACCTTTCTTTTGTCACTCTAGATCTATATTTCAGAGGTGATAAAATTTTAAATTTAGCATGAGTCTGAACAATTTTTAAAATGAGCTGAACTTAGCACAAAGCTCAGCATGATGAGAATGGCAGGTAGAAAATGGTGGAAAAACTCAACTTACCACCATCTTTTACTCATACTTCATTTGCTTCATACCATGTTTTTCTATCCTTGATAATTTTATAACAATCCCCATTGAAATATAATTCTTCGTTGTGAGATAACCGATAAGCTGCTGATTCTGAAAGTAGGAAAGTCATTTCAGTTTTGCTTTGATGAAAGAAACTGTTCTCTATGTTGTCCCAAAATTTTAAAAGATCGTCAAAATATTTTATAATTTATCTGTTAATTTAAGAACTGAATTTTTTGGCAAATTTTCATTCTGACAAAAATGCTCTTCATTACAAGTCCGTGACGCTTGCTATTCATCAGGTTGTGTGTGAGAAGAGAAGAAAAGCAAATTATGGCAAAAAAAAAAATTGCAATATAAAACGTTAAAAAACGTAAAAACGAAATATATCATCTCGCTGGATGTCACTAGACAATTATTGAAGCCAACCATCAGCTTGGCAGTAGTAAACAAGTGAATCACCAGTAACCAGTGCTGCTGAAAGTCATTTATTGGGAGTGAATCATTCAAATTTTTCAAAAGTTTAAAATTTGTCCCTTTTATCTACAGTTATTTTTTAATAATGGAAAGTGAAAAAGATTAATCATAATGTCATACAGAACATTTCTCGTGAAATTGTTGCAGAAATTGATGAAGACTATTAGATAAAATGCGATATTTATTTCAAACTTTTCACTTCTTACATGGATTTGCTAACATCCAATATTTACATTAAGAATAATGAAACGATAATAGTTGTGGTAAATTCTGAGTGAATCATAATATGTTTTCTACTAAACTGTTGGAGCATTCAGTAGTGCTGTCAAAAATCGAACTTTTGCACTTTATGTCAATGCTTTTTTTAACGTGATGGTTTAAGTCTGATGATTTATTTAGCTATTAAATAATGCAATACAATCAAGTGATTTCAACAATAATAAACCATATAGATGATTTTTTTCAAAGATCGGCAGTATGGAAGTGATAGTGAGAGATTTGTAAGCGAAATATATTCTTAAAAAGTAGCTGAACCAAACAACTGAAGCTGCTAAAGCATAGTAATAGGACAATAAAGAAAAATTATTTTAATACGTATGACATTGTTAAGCTTTTTTATAAAACTATAAACAGACTTATTTTTGGCTTTTAACTGTATTACAAAGGGATGTACTAGTTCCTGACTGAACAGTGTTGGGTTATTAGCAAATTATAATTAAATAGTGCCGCAAAAAATTATAGATAGAGCCGGCATGTCATGAAATTTTGTAGCCATAGGAAAGTGATTGAATAATGAGCAGCAATTTAAAATGCGAGTAGTTCAGTGTAAATGCTGCTCACTTATATATGAAGCAATAAGAGACATATGATCCACTTTGTGTCGTTCTTTTCCAGTGGATTATTTGCTCCTTTTTTTTCTATAGATAAAGTATTCATATCATATTATTCATTCATAATCCGTTTTGCTATTTTAGCATTATCTTCAAGTCTACTGATGAATTTTTTCAGTTGATAGTCGATTATACTAGTATGAAACAATCAGTAGTTGTAAAACTACTTAATAATTACAAATATTCAGTTATTAAATAATCGTTTGTTATATTGAACAGATAAAGTGGATCATTCCATAAATAAATATTATTATTTGTAATGTCATCAACCAGTTCCTAATTAGAAATATATATTAGCTAAATTCATATCAGTACTGGATTCAAATGACTTGATTTGCTAAAGGATTCATTCAACATATTGAGAACTTATTGACAAAATTATTGGTTAATGAAAGTTGGGATTAGTGGTAGTACTGTTAATGCGAAATTTCAACTGAACATTGAGAATTTCCTATCCTGATATTTGTAAACAAAATTTTCTATAACCTATTTCACTAGACAGATCAAGTACGAAATATTTCTACGTTCATCTAATTCTAAATATATTTTTAATCTTTTGATTTCCAAATTTCAACAAAGGTAGCAAAATCATAATTTTCAGTCGAAGCTTATAATTTCTCCTCTTCCTCCGCGTTTTCCTGAAATATTCTAGTTAGTTTAAATCTATTTCAGAGAAAAAGAAAGTAGAAAGTAATATTTTCATTATAAAACAATTACTATGACATCAGCATTATTTCAGCAAAAATTAAAAAGCTGATTCGTAAGATTTAAAATTTGTACTAATATGGATGTTCGATTTTTGGTTAATATATTTTTTGGTTACATATTACTTTATTATTGTTTTTGAAACAAAAGTTCCCAATATTTTCCTCACAGTCTTCGAAAAACCACCAAGAACAGTTTTATCTTAAGTCATGGCTGATAATTAATTAGATAATTCATCGAATTCTTAAGGATGGAAGTAATAATAATTAGAGAATGGATGAATTATGTATTTATATTCTATTCATTTTTTAATCTTAATGACAATGAAATCAGAAAAATGCATCAAAACAAGCTGCAATACTAAATATATATTTTAGATGGATCTTTCAAAAATTTTTTTGTCTCATTTTTCAAATAGCTTGGATTTATATGTTTATTTTATTTTTCTTGAGAATAAAGTGGATGCTGCAAAATTCCAAGTTGGAAACACATCCTGGATGGACAGTATTCGTTAGACACTTAACTCATCTAATAGAAAATTCTCGATCTATGCGCCGCATTCTCGCCTACTAATTATGTTTTGCCTTTTTTGGCAAATACGATTACATAAAACCTTTTTAACTGAAATAAATTTCATGCATTTTTGCAAAAATTAATGAGTTAGCTGTACAGCACGTGATGGCATATGCTAGATACTAATCGATTTTCCTGTATAAGGGCGACGACCCATTCAATCATATCAATGAAGGACAGATTTCAAAAGCCAAAGCCACATCGAAGCCAAAAAGCTAAGCTTTCATTACCGCTAGCAATCTTCAGTTTTTCCTCAGTTCATACAGAGATTTTGGATTTTACTATACAATATAGGGACTCAGATTAATGCTGACTAAAAGGAACAAAATTAAAATAAATGGAAGCATCGCATTCCATCATTTCGTCGAGAAAAGCATTAGCAACGATTGATATTATATTTCAGAATGTACGCATTTGTGTTGCTGCTGAACCATTAGATCATCCTTCATTCGAATTAGTTCCTTTCTTTTTTTCAATAGCAATTTTGCTCATTAAAGAACTTTTTTTTTGTAAAACGAATACATTACGACGTAAGAAAACTGTATACTATTAAATTACATTAAAGTGTCTGAATTAAGTGGCACAAGCGAGAATAATATATTTAATATTCAAATTAACTTTAGCACCTTTATATTAACTTTAGAAGTAATGTAATAATGAATTAATATAAGAAAGAAGTGAATGGCGTGTAAGCTGATCATCAAGTGAGCATATAATCTGGGAATTAAGTTATCCAATTAATTACGCTCTCGCTAGAGCATCGTAAATTATATTTTGTAACAATCATATTCTCAAAAGTTTGAAACTTTCAAAGTTCACATAAATCCAAACTTTCAGTTAAAACTATGAAATTCAGTAAATTAGGTAATAAATTATTCATATATGTTATGCACTGATGCATCGAAATAATAGAAGACATCCAAAATGAATAGAGTCGAACAACTCATTGACTTCATCACAGTATTCTGATTCGATTGTACTCTAATATGAGGTTTACTATGTATAAACTACAGATGTTACCAATGATTGCAAATCCAAAGAACATTGTTAAGGATTAAGATAAGCGCTTCTTAGTTACTAATCCAAAAGAAAAAACCTAATAAAAATCAATGTTCTCCTTGGATTTTAAATTTAATAAACATTTAGTAGAAATTTTTTAAATATTAAAACTCTCGATAATATGGATGCAGAATGATCTACACCACATACACATATATGAGATCAGAGATGGCATGAAATTCGGGGTCAGAAAACTGATCGTTTCAAAGCATTCATTTGATAAATTTTCCCGTTTGTTTACTTCAATTCCGTTGAACTTTTAAAGTTTTTAATATTTACTATATAAAAAAAAAAATCATTACACTTAAAAACGTTTAAAAGACTCTGCTAGTTTTGATACCAACAAGCTATTCATGTGAACTGCTTTTAAAACATTTTGAAGTTTATAGTCTTTTTTTCTTGTTCAAACCAATTATTTTTGTGGTAAAAGTTCTTTACAATTTACAATTGTTTGAAACATTCGTAGATTTATGAGCTGGAGAAACAGATTTCAAATGGTTTTCACTGCTTTTTGAATGCAAAAAATTGTTCTTCTCGCTGAATCAAAAGATTTTTCTGAGCCACAGAAATTATGCTAAAACCCGCACTCCCTAAAAAAATTATATCTTGCAGTATATGAATGGTCAAACAGGTTTCTTAAGTAGATAAAATAAAGAAAAATATAAAATACTTCAGTAGGTAAAATAAAAAAATATAAAAAAGAAAAATATACTAAGCTGTAATTGTAGTTTTAAAATTAATGGCAATTTTAAATTATCAGTACTGATTCTAAGCAACAAGCCGCAGCATGCTTCCAAATGAATAATGCTTGCTCTCGGTTACCGCGATCTACCAATGTTATGCACAACACAACATTGGGTAACAATCCAGAAAATGAAAGTCGTAGTTCCGGTGGTGAGTTCTCCCAACTCCAGTTTTCTTGTTTTTCGTTTTTTTGCACTTCTAAAGTAGATCATTACTGGATAGCTAAAATATGAAAGTGGTTCAAACAACCAGCCCTGATGATAGATATGCTTCCAAGCATCCATCCTTACACACCCGAATATCTGATTCTAGCAAACAGCCATAGCTATGATCACAAATGGTCATGAATGGGAACAGGATCCTTTCACCTTTCCTACTCATACATATCTTTTGTATTTGCTAGATTGTTTATTCAACTTCTACAACATCAACGTTTGTATATGTCTGAATGCTATACCTCCATAAATTGTGAATAACGGCCTGAGCATCATGCAACATTGAATTTCCAAACACAGCTAGATCCATTTCCTCCTTCCTATTCAAAATTATTCGAGAACAGAAAGAAAAACAAAAATGAATCACCACTCCCCTTAAAAAAATTGATTAGAGACATTCAAATTAAGTCAAAAACAGTCAAATCTTACTGCCAAAACAAAAAATCCCAATTAAAAAAATTTTACAATTTCAGAAAGATGCTTCCTTCGATGTGTACATTGTTCACTATCAATTGCAACTTCAACTGTATGATAATGTATGACTAAAATGCACAAATATGCAATTTTTAAACTGTTTGGCGTGATGAAAACAAACATTTGCAGCCGTCTGCTTGGCTTTTTAGTTGATGTGTTCACTTCTACCATTTTCAGGATACTCAATCCTCCTACTTCCTTTGTAAAAAAATGAATATTAACACTGCGTGTGATACAATAAAATAGAACAAGAAAAATCAACCAAAACATAAACAAAATTTACTCCAAAGCACACAAACGTAAATATACTCCGATTAGAAGGCGGAAATATTAGACTTAATAATAAGAGATAATACTGATAGCGTTAGGTGCACTGCAAGTCTATATGTTGATGATTAACACTGACGCCAATTGAACTGCTTCATAAATGAAAAAAAAAAAAAGGCCAAGCGAATGAATAGCTTACTCGACAAAACAAAAATGGTAGAAAGTCAAATAATGTGCAGGACAACGTAAGGTCAAAAAAACTCCTTCGAAAACTTCTGGACTCTCATCCCTTTAGTCACATCTTCAAAAAAAAAAAAAAGGAAAACAGAAAAAACAGAGAAACCACAAATTCAAAAACCGAAATAGAATATGCATCCAGTGTTTTTTAAAAAAAAAAAAAAAAAAAGCAAGCAGTAATAGAGGAGCTTATTTAATATTTAAAAAACAATGAAAAACACTGGAGTTTAAATTAAAAACAAGCACCCATTAATTAGCTCTAACTCTCAGATGCATCTACGACTAAGGAAAAAAAATCTGGAAACCCATATCGCCAAATATCAAACTGAGGCTTTAAATAGGAACCATAAAATCGAGCAATCAACTCTTCACTAAATGCATCAGAGGCCAAAATAACATACTGAAAAGAAAAAAATATCAGATGAGAAAATCAAGCATTGAAAGAGAATAGGGAAAGGAAAAACTCTACATTTCTAATGCGGAGTTTTTCTTTTCTCCACATTAAAAATAAACTATAAAAAAGAAGGAAAACAAATTCAAAAAGAGATCTATGAATTGAACAACAATTCACAGAAAACCAAAAGAAAAAGGAATCAAATTTTTAAAAAACATTAACAACTAAAAGAAAAAGAGGCAAAACTTCACGACAGAAAAATGAACGAAAAAAAAAAAAAATCAGAAAGAATTTCTTGTTAACAATAACCAAGCTCTGCTTCTCTTTCTGCAAACACTCTGAAATGAGTGACAAAAAATAAGTGGAAAAAAGTATTTCCATTTTATGCATACGAATCAGTCAATTCAAATCATCAATGATTACAAACAACAGCGATTCTTTTTTCATTGGGAAAAAGTTATCACAATGTGAATGAGATGATGAGATAATGAGTTCACACTTCATACTGTAACAGACTAATTGCCACCCGTTCGTGTATTGACGTGATGATATTAGATGAAGTTAGAAATAACCTAAATGTAAAAAAGCTTGATCTAAAAATAGCTCAAAAGAAAACACAAACGTTGCGAAGGTAAAAGAAAAAAAAAAACTACTTGCTTATTCTAGTAGTGTAGAAAAGTAAAGAAACTGTTTTCTTCCAATTATAGGCAGTTTTAATTTTTTGACAGAGTCGAATATTTTTTTAACAACTAAGACACCCCACTCCCATACAGAGTGATTTTTCAGGTGATAAAATATGGCAATGTAAAACCACTGCTGACAATAGCAATACATACCATTTCTAAATCACTGAGAGATGGGACTTCTACTCATATAATGCCATCAAACGGACTAAAAAAAAAAAAAAAAAAAACGTCCGATATTTCCCAAACAGGGCTTTTGTACAATTAAAAAATCAAACACTCGTACCTATAATACATAACAATGCTTGATCAAACCACCGATGCAGCTTCTCGATTTAAGGAACTTGGTAATAATCACAGAAATAAGTAAAAATCTAATGCAAAATCTAATTTTACTATCTTTCGAATTCTTCCATTTAAATGTGTTAATTTTCAAAAACAAAATATTTCTTACAACTAAAGTAAAAAAAAAAAAATCGCGACAAAGAAATTCACTGTGAGAATTAGGATGAAAAATTCCTCCATATTTAAATGAAATATATGTCAAAATAAGAAAATCAGATCATTTTAAGTCATGAAATTGGTAGTGCAAAACTAAACACTAGTTAGATTTTCACATATCTAAGGAAAAAATGTGGCATATAAGAAAAGGGGACTAGATCTTTGGCATAAATATTTTTCAAACAATACTGTCGGCAAGATTGTGATGATGGATGTACCGGAATATATGCGAATCAGTGCTTACGAGTTGCTGATGACACCACTTGAGATTTGAAAGACACCTTAAATTTTCATTGACATACTTATGTTTCGCTGGAGAAAACTTAGAAAACTTAATTCATTTACTAATGAAATATTTTGAAAAATGATCCAATAATGGCTTGAAGTCTTTAATTTCTTCATAAATTATCTTAAAGTGGGCTAGCCCTTGAAGAAATAAAGTTTGTAATTTTGAAATTCACTACCTGAAGAGTTCGATTACCCAGCTGCGTTCCATTTAGTGAAGTGATTGCTGTGACGGCATCTTCATACTGTCCCATTGTTACAAAGCCATATCCTTTGCATTTTCCAGTCGAGAAGTCTTTTATAATCTACAAATAAAATTTACGCCGATATAGAAACTTAAAAGCTGTTCTAAAATCAACAATGACAATGCTAAGCTTTAGAATTTATAAAGGTTTCCCATACTACTATATAACATAAACACTCATTATCCTTAAATATTCTCCCCTATTTTTCTCAAATATAATGTAGTGATGCTAGTGCAATCCGTAATGACAATGCCTGCCTTAACACTTAGAACAGCGCCAAATGGTCCAAAAAGTTGCCACAATATAGCATCTTCAGTTTCAGGAGGAAGATTGTACACAAAAATACACCATCCGGTGCCAACGACACTCCCGCAAGGTGTCGAATTTGCAAGTGCGGCTAGTTGTACTGGTGAGGTGCTAGTACCTGTAAAAGTCTTATTTACTTAAGAATTTTCTCCAGAATAAAAACCATTCCTTCCCCAACTGTGTATAAAAGGGATCCATTTTCTTCTACATTTTTTTTTTTGACTGCTAATAAATTTTAAATTGTAATGAAATTGCAAAAAAATCCGAGCATAATACATGAATATATACATCTCATAATGGATCTCTAACAAATTTTGCAAAAAAGAACAAAAAGTTGAGCATAATTCTAAGATGGAATATTCCGGAAAACCGATATAATGCTGTCTATTCAGTAAAACTCAAGTTAGAATTAAAACATCGTGTTTTCAAAAAAACTCTAAATTAAGACTCTAATTAGAAAACAACTTCCACTAAATAATAACTAATAAAAATTTTTACAAGACTTATTCTCAGAATTAAAATTTAGTCTACCTGCTCCAATTAAACAAACAGAAACATAAATGTGTGAAACGATACCTAAAAGAAGACGAAATCTCTTTTTTGCTCATATTTTTCTACGAATTCTGGAAATGTTTCATGTGTATCTAAAATGCAAATACATGGTAAGATTTGATTTAAATTTGTACCAGTGGCTGCAGCCATTTGCAACAGTTGCGTTGTAATAAGCTCAGGACTAGATGTCGTTGCTGTGGTTGCAGTTGTTGTACCAGGAGCTCCAGCTAGTGGCGTGTAGCGGAAACGTCCAGCCTGCGGTGTGTGATGTATTGGACCGGCACCAATTCGCCGTCCAGATGTTGCGGAAATTGAGCTCAAAAGGGCAAGAGGCATTAAGGCTGATGCTGCTTGCGCTATCTGAAAATAAACGACTTACTCTATTGCTAAAAGAAACTGAGATAAAAAAGAAAAGACGAAAAACTTTGGTCCTTGACGTAAGACGGGAGGATCTAAATGAACGTAGAATATTTTGCATGCTGGTATAAAAGAAATTTTGGCATGAAAAAGTTTAGAATTAAATAAATTTCATGTATATGTTTAAAAAACTTGGAAAATAATCTTAAAGTGTTTAACAAAATTATAAAAGAAATAAGTTTACGGATTTTCAAAAAAAAAAGAAAAAAAAACTGTGACATATGACCTGAAGTTGTGCTTTTTGAGCATTTGCTGCAGGACTATTGGCAAATTTAACAGTAATGGGTTCAGTGCAACCAGCAGGAATTTTTCCATTTAATTTATCGATAGCATCTTCAGCTTCGCTTTTCCGGTCAAAACGTACAAAACCGACACCTTTTGATATCCCTTGAATTAATCGATTAAAAGATAACGAGTGAAAACTGCATAAAAACATTTCTTCCCATCGAATCATACGAAGTTTTCTCTATCTTAATAAATTTAACTAAAATGAAAAGAAACGCTATAAGTTATGGCATCAAACTTATTTAACCAAAGAAAACGTGTAGACGTAGATTAAAATTACGTAATTCATATCTTACCAGTAACATTGTCAGAGAGGATTCGTGATGTAATGATTTGTCCAAAAGGCTTGAAAAGTGCTTCCAAATCAAGCTGACTCATCGTTTTAGCCAGACCACTCACGTATAAATTGGCTCCTTTGATAGATTCGCTGCTCGGCCGTGCAAATGACACCTTAAAGAAAATAAGTAAAAATATTTTTTTCGTCATCAGTACTAGCATTTTCCATATCGCTTTTTGGACTTGATATCAAACCATTGCTATCACTAAGATTATTTCATAAAAAATGTCACTTTTCCACATTTCCTAACTCTTTTTATATTTTAGTTGAACATAAAAGAGATATGATAGTTA